GTCTCCCATGTGGGTGCAGGGGTCCAAGAACTTGGACCATCCTGCATTGCTTTTCCAGGCTAATAGCAGTTCATCCATGGATGAACTAAGTTATGTGACTTGTACCAAATCGCCTTAGAAAGTTTTCTCTTCCACATAATAAAAGGCTCTTCAGACAATTTCACATCTAAGGGTCATGGTTGCTAAGATTCTATGAAGGCCTAAGCTTAGCCCAGTGGGGACGCACTGAATGGAGTAAGCCTTCTAGTGAGCAAATCAAAAGATGGAGAAATCTAGAAAGCCATCGCACTCAAATGTACACGCCCCTTTGTGCTGCTGTTATCCCTACTACTTTTCAAGTTGAAGATGAACAGGGAGAACCTTTACGTTCTAGCAGTTGTGGATCTGGAAAAGGAGTCTGCAGACCACCTGGAGTTATCAGTTGTAATGAGGGAAAAAGCTGAAAAATTCATAAAACCATTGCTTTTCATTTGGTAGTATTGGTTTTTTTAGTACTATCATTCTTTATGATAACCTATGTAATTTCCAGAATTTACTCATCAGTAACAATATAAGAATATTTTCTTTATTCAAATTTTATGCTCTAAGCTTAAATGCACTTTCCTATATGGCTTTTTTTTATATTAAAGATTTATTTATTTATTTTTTTTATTGGAAAATCAGATATACAAAGAGGAGGAGAGACAAAGATCTTCCATCCGATGATTCACTCCCTAAGTGACCACTATGGCCAGAACTGCGCCAATCTGAAGCCAGAAGCCAGGAGCTCTTCCAGATCTCTCACACGGGTGCAGAGTCCCAAGGCTTTGGACCTTCCTCGACTGCTTTCCCAGGCCACAAGCAGGGAGCTGGATGGGAAGCGGGGCCACCAGGATTAGAACCAGCGACCATATGGGAACCTGGAGTGTGCAAGGCGAGGACTTTAACCACTACGCTATTGCGCTGGGCCCCTATATGGTTTTACGGCCAACACGTGGGTTGTATTTTTTAAGGCATACATACCCACTTGATTTAATGATGGGCATCAGGTCAAGCATGAAATTCAGCTAATTATATATAATTTATATCTCTAGTTAAGCCCACAGGAATGTTTTTCATATGTATATGAGCATTGGATTTTATAATCTAATAATCAAATATGAAAAAGAGCATAAATTACACTTTTTTTAAAAGAAACTAGATTTTAGAGGTCAACATTGTACACACTCATATCACAAATATATATATATTGAACTTCCATAATGATATGTACCATTGGAAATAATATTGATTTTATCCCTAAAAAATTTGACTGAGGGCCCGGTGCAGTAACCTAGTGGCTGAAGTCCTTGCCTTGCATATGCTGGGAGCCAGTTCTAATCCCGGCAGCCCTGCTTCCCACACAGCTCCCTCCCTGCTTGTGGCCTAGGAGAGCAGTCTAGGATGGCCCAAAACCTTGAGCCCTGGCACAATGTGGGAGATCTGGAAGCGGCCCCTGGCTCCTGGCTTTGGATGGGTTTAGCTTTGGCCGTTGTGGCCGTTTAAGGAGTGAATCGGCAGACAGAAGATTTTTCTCTCTGTCTCTGTTTCTCTCTGTATATCTGACTTTCCAATAAAATAATAATAATAAACACATCTTTTTAAAAAATGTGGCACAGAGGTCATTGTACAGCAGCTATATTAATAAAGAGATAAAACTTGAGGTTTTAAATAATTACAAGTGAAAGTTTTGAGGGGTGGTTAAAGAATTGCTGCCAGGATTCAGCTGATCTGGTGGAGTTGTTCAGCCTAGCAGCCTGGCCGCAGGATGCAGTGCCCTACTGCCATGTTATAATGCTTGGGGTAGGTGCCCTGCCCCCGCCCCCTGGTAACACAGACCTGAATCCCCGCCACCCTTGTGGGTAAACCTGGATTGTATGTTCTGGTCCTCCCAGCTCCCAGCTTCAGCTGTGCCCACCTTCCCACTGGGTGGGCATTTGGTGAGCACACGGGAACTCTCCAATTGTTTGTCTCTCTCTCTCTCTCTGCCTCTCAAACAAATGCTAACTATTTAAAAAGAAGAATCAGGGCCTAGCGCGGTGGCCTAGAGGCCAAAGTCCTCGCCTTGAATATGCCTGGAATCCCATATGGGCGCCGGTTCTAATCCTGACTGCTCCACTTCCCATCAGCTCCCTGCTTGTGGCCTGGGAAAGGAGTCAAGGATGGCACAAAGCCTTGGGACCCTGCGCCCGTGTGGGAGACCTGGAAGAGGCTCCTGGCTCCTGGCTTCAGACTGGCGCAGCACCAGCTGTTGCAGTCACTTGGGGAGTGAATCATTGGACGAAAGATCTTCCTCTCTGCCTTTCCTCTGTATATCTAACTTTCCAATAAAAATAAATAAATCTCTTTTTTTAATATTTATTTTTATTATTTTTTTTTTATTGGAAAGGTGGATATACAGAGAGGAGAGAGACAGAGGAAGATCTTCCGTCCGATGATTCACTCCCCAAGTGAGCGCAACGGGCCGATACTATGCCGATCCGAAGCCAGGAGCCTCTTCCAGGTCTCCCACGCGGGTGCAGGGTCCCAAAGCTTTGGGCCATCCTCGACTGCTTTCCAGGCCACAGGCAGGGAGCTGGAAGGGAAGCGGGGCTGCCGGGATTAGAACCGGCGCCCATATGGGATCCCGGGCGTGCAAGGCGAGGACCTTAACCACTGTGCCACCGCGCCGGGCCAAAATGAAATAAATCTTTAAAAAAAAAAAAAAAAAAGAAGAAGAATCAATGGATCTGAAAAATGAAAAAAACAGGGAAAGTTTTCTTTTTTCTTTGTTTATGTTTGGCTTCATTTTTTGATCAAGTCTTATTTTTTCTCACCTTTATAACCAAGCAATCTTGGCAGATTATGTCAAAACCTCACCACCTACATTTCTCTTAAAATTTCAGCTTTCTTTAATAATCAATATCCTTTTTTAAAAAAAAATTGTCACAAATGATATCATTTATTTATTTGAGAAGCAGAGAAAAAAGAGACCAGGAGAAAGACAGCCAGATCGAGATCGTCCGTATGCTGGTGCACCCCCAGCCACCTGCAAAGGCTGGGCTTGGGGCTGAAACCCAGCTCAGCTCAAGTCTTCCCCAGAGCAGGTGGCACCTGACCGCTGGAACCAGCACTGCTACTTCCCAGGTTGGCACAGCTGGACTCAGGACCCAGAACTGGGTATGGAACCCAAGCTCTAGACACAGGGGACAAGTGTGTCCCAAGCCACATCTTAACCACTAGTCCGGACGCCCACCCTCTGAACACTCCCCTTGTAAAGAGAGAATTTATTGAGAAACCTACCGCGCATGTGAAATCTCAAAACCAGCTTTACTCACTCTCATGCCTCTACAATCAAAGCTATTTGTGCACCTGACCAGGAGCATGTGACATGATACGGGAGATAGGTGATGTTCCCCAGTCGCAAGTTGGCATAACAGCGGGCAGCATGTTGAGCAGGAATGACAGCCAGAACGCTCACTGGGGCAACACTCTCTGTTGCACCTGGAGCTGCCAGGTGCCAGGGCAGGGAGGGCTTGCACTAGGGACTGAGTTGTACAATTCAACTTTCCTTGACTGTTGGGACTTGCAGAGCTCCTGCCCGAAAGGGGCAGGCCCGCTGCTTCTCCATTCCAGCCGAGGAACAGCAGGAACCCATTATTTTGGGTGAGCTCTGTTGCGATTCCACTGCAGCGGATTTTTAAGGAGCAACTCCACCAGTGTTCAGAAATCCAAAGGAATTTCTAGAACATTCTTTCATACCAAGACTCTGGAATTCACGACTCCATAGCTTTTCTTCTCTGTTTAATTCCTGGACACAAAACAGTCAGTTTCCCCCTTTCTTATCCGTGGCCTTACCTTTTGCAGTTTGTCACTGTTGATTAATGATGGGTCAAAAACATTAACTGAAAAATTCCACAAATAAATGGAGAAACACCATCTACAGACCTTTTATTACAATCTATTGCTAAAATTGTTCTATTTTGTTGTTATTTATTATTGTTCATCTCTTATCATTTCCTACTTTATAAACTCAATCTTATCGCAGGTAAGATGCGTGGGAGAATGTAGCAGGACCACAAAGCCGCTGTGCACAGTTTCCGACTTTGTGGTCCTGAAACACGGACCCTGCCTGCAGGAATGGTGAAAGCACAAGCATTCCTACTGTCTCCTCTCAATTCTTTTATCATCGCCCAATTTCAGCAAAAAAAAAAAAAAAAAAAAAAAATCAAAACAAAACTCATCTGGGATCACTTCAAAGTGTCAAGGTAAAAAGGTCTGGGGAAGATTTTCAAGGAATGAACTGGCGACGTACAGTCATTAGTCATGATAAAGCTGATCAAAATTACAGTTGGAATCTAAACTTACACAGGAGCATTTGCTGCCCAGCACAAAGAAGTGTTTTAATTTTTTTCAAAAGGAGATTTTTAAAGGAGTCGCATTGACTGCGGTGCAGCTGTTGTAAGGATACGATCCTGTGGGGCCGGCGACGTGGCATAGCAGGTCGGTGCTCACTTCGGACCCAGCTCCCTGTTATTGAGCCTGGGAAAGCAGAAGGGGATGTTCTAAGTACTCACTACCCTGCCGGCCACGTGCGAGACCCGGATGGAATTCCTGGCTTTGGCCTGGCCCAGCCCCCACTGTTGTGACCATTTGGGGAGTGAACCAGCACGCGGAAATCTCTCTGTCACTACCTTTGTTTCTGTAACTCTTTCAAATAAATGAAATAAGTCTTTAAAAATTAACATGATATTATACGATGTGCCTTTTAATTCCTTTCAAAAAAATTTTTAAAAATTTCTTTAAGAGGGAGAGAAAACAAGAGAGAACGCAACTGTTGATTCATTCGCCAGGGATGGAGCCTGGGACACAAGGCAGGTCTCCCCGTGAGTGGCAGGGACAAGAGGGTGTGCACCAAGCTGAAAGTCAGGAGCAGGGATGGGACTTGAACCCAGGTACTCCATACAGGCAGCCAGGATCTCAAGCAGGATTTACCTGCTATGCCAAAAGCCTGCCCCGGAAACATCCGTCTTTGGATGGGAGTCCTCGGAGCTAGTGGGGCAGCACACAGGTTAAGCCAACGCTTGCAATGCTGCCGCCCCACATGGGCCTTGGTTGCTGTCCCAGCTGCCCCACTGCTCACGCTTCTGGGAAAACAGAGGAAGATGTACCAATGCTTGGACCGCTATCGTCCATGCGAGAGACCAGGATGGAGTTCCTGGCTCCTGGCTTCAGCCTGGTCCAGCCCTGGGTGGTGTGGCAGATAGAAGCTCGCTCTCTGTGTTCGTCATTCTGCTTTTCAAAAACACTAATCTTAAAAAAAAATCCTGTAAAAATAGTTTAATTTATGTCATTAAATCATCCTCTAGAAAGGTCTGAATTCTTAGGAAACACAAGCAACAAAGTTCAGTTTGTAAGTCAAATTTCGGGATTGAATCTGCCAGAGTCAAATTTCTTATATTGCCCAGCTTTTCCATCTAAGTCTCCTTCTAGATGATAATGCTTAACGCTACTCTTCTGCAGCTTCCTAGCTTCATTATAATTTTACCTTCTTAGCTGGCATAAGATTACATTACATAGCGACAGGTGGCAAACATCACCAAAAGAATCCACACAGGCCACTAATGCTATGCCATGTCAGACTTTCATACTATCGGTTTGCAAATAAATACATCCAAAGGGGATGACTCCCTCACCCCCAAATAAACAAAACTCTCCCCATAGGTTGTTAACATCGCCTTTCAGGGTGGCAGCGCTGAGAATGTGAGTACTTACTCCATTAGTAAGCATTGACTGGTACTGGGTTCATCACTCCTTGATCCAAGAGCTGGGCATTGTTCTTAGCCTTGAAGACTCAAAAGCAAACAAAACAGACCAATTGCAAAGTTTCTATGAGCTTACATTTTAATGGGGAAAATACGCAGCTAACAGGCACGCATAGATGTAAGATTATTTCTGTGGCTGCTAAGGGTCATGAAGATACTAAAACGCGGCAAGGTGATGGCAGGTGACAGGCTGGGGCAGGTGGCGGGAGGAAGTTAGTGACTTCCAAACTCTACTAGTAGTTCCGCCTTCTTGCCGTTACTAGTTCAGTTGGCTTGGGGAACGGCAGGTGACGCTTCTGTCGTGTAGCACAAGACACACCCCATCAGCACCTTGCAACTTACTGCTTGGTGACCCCCGTGGGTCTATCCCGGGGCTGCGCGAGCCTCATTTTCCTCCCCATTTCCCTGGTTCTCTCTCTCTCCTGCTTCTTTTTTACTCACAGGCTCTCTGGAGCAGGCCCCCGCATCCAGCTCTCAGGATGTGGAGAGCTGCAAATAGCTCCACCAGCTGCACTTGGAGGTAGCCGCCCGGGCAGCGTGCCAGCTGCTGCCACCGCAGGAGCCAAGGCCGCCCCGGGCCGCCCGGCGTCCTTGTGCGCAGCCTCACCGAGTCCCGAGGATGTGGGCCGGCTCAGCAGTGCAGACGAGACGCGCCGGCTGGTGCTGCTGCGTTGGTGCGCAGGCGACGGCGGGGGCGCACTGAGGAGGAAGCGAGGGCTGTGTGCCCTCCCGTGTTCTCCCCTGACCTCCAAGACTGCCTCAGGGGTAGGTTAGCGCTGGTCCTCACTTCCTTCCTGCAGCAGCGGCCACTGGGGAGGAAGGCTGATGTGAGCGCGGCACCAGAACTTGGGAAGCTGGCTCACGGGCCGTGTCCCTGGTGCCTGGCTTTTTCCTGCTGCTTTGCTCAGTCAGGATCTGCTTCACATTTTTCTCTTCTGCGTTCCTGACAGTTCCAAGACGCACACCCTCCTCTGGCCACACTCCCAGATGCAGAAGTGTAAGTACAGTCAGGCCTCGCGAGCCACAGGGGGAGATGGCTTGCAGGGGCCCGTGCAGACACCAAGTCAGCAGAGGCTCAAGCCCGTCTCTGCAGAGCATCCACACACGCCTCTCCTCCCATACACTCGAAACCATCTCTGGATGACTTAGAAATATCAAGTACAACAGCAATGCCATGTCAACCAAGGGGACACCGTTGTGGTTTGGGCACAAATAACAAGCAAAAGGTATGTACGTGTGCAATGCAACACAATTTCTCCCCCACCCATTTTTGCTGAATCTGTAGAGTTCTGTGGATTGGGGGAGGGAGGAACTAACCGTATTATTTATAAAGCACCATGGCAAATTTCTTTTAAAAAAAAACAACATTTTATTTTTGATTTGAAAGGCAGATTTACAGAAGAGAAGAGACACACACACACACAGATATTCCATCTGCCAGTTTATTCCCAAAATGGAGTTGGCAATTTCTTGCAGGTCTCCCACACGGGTTATCTGGGCTGTCTCCACTGCTTTCCCAGGCCACAAGCAGAGAGCTAGATTGGAAGTGGAGCAGCCGGGATTTGAACCTGCATCCATATGGGATGTTAGCACCACAGGCTGAAGCTTAACCAACAATACTATAATAACAGCATTAGCCTGGGACATTTATATTATTGTCATTTTTAAGATTTATTGTCTTTGGGCCCGGCGTGGTGGCGCAGTGGTTAAGGTCCTCGCCTTACACGCCCGGGATCCCATATGGGTGCCTTTCCAATAAAAAATAAATAAATCTTTAAAAAAAGAAAGATTTATTGTCTTTATTGGAAAGGCAGATTCATGGAGAGGAGAGACAGACAGAGGTATTCCATCCGCTGGCTCACACCCCAAGTGGCCGCAGTGCCCAGAGATGAGCTGATACAAAGCCACGAGTTTCTTCCAGGTCTCCCACACAGGTCCCGAGGCTTTGGGTGATGTACCACTGCTTTCCCAGGCCACAAGCAGGGAGCTGGGTGGGAAGTGGAGTAGTTGGGGCACACTAGGGCCTATGTGGGATCTTGGCACTTGGATCAACTGGCACTTAGCCAACTGAGCCATTGCGCCAGGCCCAAGACATTTCTCTTTAAGAATGAAAGCAGAAGTTAGACCACCCAGCCTTGCTCTGCTGCTCGTACACTGGCCCTCAGGGAGAGTGAGAGAGGAGGCAGGCGGGGAGCTGAGGTGTCGCAGGCTTCACCTTTCTCACCCCTTTGTGGGTATGCACCTGTGAAGGGTGCGGTCCTGCACAGCACAGGGAGCCTCTGGTCACACTGACTCAGCAGGCAGGTGCTTGGCCCTTGAGGACCTGCTCTTCACGGGGACATGCGTTACCTCCCTCAGGGGCCTGCCTGGTTGTGGAGGGAATCGGGAGTCCTCTCCTGGCTAGGGCGCTGGAGCCCTGCGCGAGCACCCTGAATCCAGGGAGGTGGCGTGACGGGGCGTGGGACAGAGGCGTGCTTCCCTGCTGCTGTGAGCCAACTGCAGTGGGTGTCGGCAATGAAAAACTGCTCTCCTGAGGGAAGTGGGCTGAATGAGAAAACCAGACTGCTTGCTCTGGGCAGCCCTGATTCTGCCTGGACGGTCGACCTTGGTCCTGGGGGAGCTGCTTGGGCTGTCAGCGCAGCTCTCTCGGCGAGGAGACATGGTTGTGAGAAACACGTGTACAGCTGCGCAACAGTACACAGGAAACAGGTGCAAATGACCGTGACCTTGCACCACATTTTCATCTTTCTTCTTTTTGCTTTTAACGTTCATGTTCGTCATTCCAATTTAGCTGATGTTCAAGAACCCAAAGGGACCGACTTCAAAATAAGTACCTTAAAAATAATAAAAGCAACTTTGAAACCAAACCTGTCCAGGTTGACAGATCAACATGGAAGCTTTTCTGAAACAACAAGACCTGCCATGAGCGGGGAAGAGCAATTATGTTCGGACTGTTTTTCAATCAAATTTTAAACAAATCTGCCTGTTTCTTTCAGAAGGAGGCTCGGCTTCAGGTTTGCCTCTGTTGCCTACAATGCTGAAAGTCTGCGGGGAGGCCCCCTGCGGCAGGAGCTCTCGGGGCAATGTTCACCCCTCCTTCTATAAGATCCAGCAACTGGGCCTACCACTCTCTCAGCAGGGTCAGCAGTGGCTTCCCCATGCTGTTTGCAAAGGCCTTGGCATCCAGAAACCAAGAAAAGTGAAAGAAGCCCAGCCCGAGAGATGAGAAGCCCAGTGGGCCTGCAAGAGTCACTGCTTTTACAGACTAGTTCAGGCACAGGTGTTGGGACTTACCCGGCTGTCCGGGTGAGTCTCACGTGACCAGTTACTGGCTGGATGCTCATGGGCATGTCCTCACCCTCTTGGACCTCAACTTCCTTATCTGTGAAATGGACTCAATCATTTAACTGATTCTGGAAGGGTCCACGAATTTAAGAAAATAGTCCAGGGGATGGGCCCGGCAGCGTGGCCTAGCAGCTAAAGTCCTCCCCTTGAACGCCCGGGATCCCATATGGGCGCCGGTTCTAATCCTGGCAGCTCCACTTCCCTTCCAGCTCCCTGCTTGTGGCCTGGGAAAGCAGTCGAGGACGGCCCAAAGCTTTGGGACCCTGCACCTGCGTGGGAGACCTGGAAGAAGTTCCTGGCTCCCAGCTTCGGATCGGCGTAGCATTGGCCATTGCGCTCACTTGGGGAGTGAATCATCGGACGGAAGATCTTCCTCTCTGTCTCTCTTCTCTGTATGTCTGACTTTGCAATAAAAATAAATAAATCTTAAAAAATTGTACAATGCCTGTTCTATATCAGAGCGCCCAGATTTAAGTCACGTGTCTGGCTCCTGACTGCAGCTGCCCGCTCACGCCGACCCTGGAGGCAGCAGTGTGGCTCCAGTCATCGGGTTCCTGCCCCAGGTGGGAGTGCTGAGTCAGAGCACCTGTTTCGAGTATTCAGACAACGTGTCAGTAAATGACCTCTCTCCCCACTCCCAGCCCTCATCCTACCCTGTTTTTCTCTTTCTTCCCTCCAAATATACCAATAAATAATAATTTTAAAAACCAGATTCTCTGGATGGCAAGTGGGAGACCAGGGCTATCGGAAGGGTTTATGTAGAGCTCCCTAAAGAGATGGTAGCTCCACCAGGCAAGGAGTGGCCTGCCTGCCTGCCTTCCTGCTGTGTATTTGCTTAATGATCTCTGCCCCGGTTCCTCCATGTCTGGCTGGAGGGCAACATGAACCACGAGCTGGCTTTCCGACTTCCTCAGGCTACACAACTGGCAAGCTCCCAGACAGCAGCAACACTGAACACTCCCCGCTGGTTCCAGGTCTCCTAACGCGCACGCTGAGCTCGAAACTGCCTGCACGGCCAGCTCCGATCAGGCTGCCATCCAGTCCTGGTTTCCACCACTCAGTCCTGGCTCAGTCTGTCTTATCCAAACTGTATCTGCTGTTGAACTGCTGAGTGTCAAGCTTGCACTTGGTTCAGAAGAATTGAGTCAAAATACTTAGGACTCTGAAAGACAATCCTCTAAAGAATTGCAGCAGAATGTCATGAACAATGCCTAAACGTTCTTAATGCAGATAAATATTTAGATAACGCATGCATTATTAAGCGATAAAATCAGGATCAGCTATTTACCTGAATACATTTCATAACAGTTTAATTTGCCGATTTAACCCATTGACTCCAATTTTCTAACCTTACACTTGCAAAGACATTAACATTAAAGATTATAGTGATATCCAGTAGAGGAGTATACAGTAATAAATAATTTAGCTTCTTTATACGTCAGTTACATTTTTAAATTACTTATGAAACACCAATAAATATTACCAGTGCTATTGGGAAAATTGGCATTATCCATATTTCATTTAACAGTGGAGTCATTCAAAGGTAAGAGGGAAAAAAGGAAGACAGGAGAAAGTCACTGAACTTAACATTTCTTTTTAAAGATTCTTATTTGAAAGAGAACTCTTGTCCCCTGGCTGACTGCCCGAGTGCCTGCCATGGCAGAAGTTGGACTGTGCTATGTGGGCGCTCACATCTCCGCTCAGGTGTCCCACTTGGGTCACAGGAGCAAGACACCCACTGAACTTACCAGCAGTCCTGGCTTTTTGAGAAGCTATGCATCATCTGGCCAAAGGATATCAAAACTCACTAAGCAAGAGAATAACATTTGCTGTAGCTAAAATAAACAATTTTTTATTTCTGTTTTCCATATGTAGGCATGTGAGTCAAACACAACATTTTTTAAAAATTTGTACATTTTGGGAAAACACGTAGCATAATAATCAGCATAACATAACGCTTCCCTTATGCTACCCCATGTTTCACCATTGCCTCTTGGGGATTCTGTGTGAGCAAAGGCTGCCGAGAGGAGGAATAGGGGACACTTGGATGGTACAAGCAGTATGGAGTTCGGTATAGTCCAGACCGAAAGAGGCACGCTTGTATTGGCTCAGTCAGGTCAAAATTGATTCTAGAGCTTGTTCCCAAATCCTGTGACATAAACATCACACAAACTGACCCAATGT